ACAAGTGTCTCGCTAGACGGTAAATGCACGACGCGAAAAACAGTGTTCCCTCCGAACGAGTCCAAGCACCTAATTTCCCAGCTTCGAACGACTGAATCGATCCGCGGAAACAGAAAATAATCCTTTTTTTTTCATTTTTAATTGGTCTTTCACTTGCGGCCAAGCGTATGTATTCACACCACTCCGCGCTGTACATACTTACGCATACGTATACCACACACAAACATTTCGCTATCTCTCACGCACACGCGTCCACCTCCCTCCCGTTCCCTGACAAAAAATATGCAATTATTTCTAAAAAAGAAAAAATTACGTTCTAATGTTAACACGTTCGCTGCCACCGTCGAATCATCGTCGACTTTATATACGATATCAATGATGCGTCAAAAAAGTACCAACCTTAATTAATTAACATCTTGCCTTGTCCAACTATTCTCTTTAAAAGTGAATCATCCTTAACAATTAACTATACAAATTAACTATACAAGTCTACGTTTATAGTAAATCTATGTTTACTACAAGTTGTTTTCTAAGAGTAAAGTGAGATATAGCATGCCTCTGAAATTTTCCAAATGGCAGCGAACGTATTAACGAGTCCCTAAAGTATCCTGCTCGTTCAGTGATCGCGTCCTGCTCCGAGGTAGTACCGATATCCTGCGTAAGAGACGCAATTCCGTTCAGTGTACACGAACACTTTTAAAATGTGATTCGTTTTGCTGTATAAAACATGCACTCTCAAACGGGTCGCACCCGGCAGCTAGTTGCTCGCAGCGAACTACAAACTATGCCAATATGCTTGGTGGATAAGATACAGAATTCGCATAATTGATTCTCTTAATGGTCGACAACGTTGATGCTGAGAGTCCTTTGTTGGCCTCACGCAATTACATTTCAATTTAATTTGTCAGGTGAGTAGTAGATTATGATTGTTGCTTCCAAATAACGAAACACGATAATCAAAGTTTATTGGAAGACGTAATTGATAGGCAACCGACGAGTTGACTCATCCTCCATAATTAACGAATAAAGGATACTGAATACCTTATAGTGAAATTAACAGGTACTGAATCTACATTTACCTTTGCTTCAGAAAGTTTACTGCTTCCCTATTTTTTTAGTTCGTGGCTGGGTATAAATATTTTTGTCATATACGCAACAAAAACGACATCACTAATGTTAGGTATTATTCTTAAGCACCAAGGAGGTTTAGTGTTGTGTTCGTGAAATTTAAAAAAAACTAGATGGATTGATCTATTCGAGAGAAAGTCCGAGTGCGTTGACATTTTTTAGGTCCATCGGGGAGTCCCCAAGATATTTCGAACTTTCATAGAGGAAGAAAGAAAGTCTGTCGCAACTGCGCTGTATCTTGTCCACCAACAGTAACATACACGCTAAAAAAACTTTCTATCACACTTGTTTTTCTGTTCGCGATAAAACTAGTTCGACGGTCTTTCCAATGTTCGAAATCATCTGAAAACGATCACGTGTAATAATTAATTAGCACCGACCGAGCCACTTCTTTTCATTTCATCTTTAAATAATATCATTCATCTCTGCACATTACCCGCTAAATAATAAACGTTCTAACGGGTCTTCTGTAGCATCATTTTCCATCGACGAGCTCGACGTTCATCGAACGAAGACGAAACGCGCTCGTGACTACAGCCCTCGCGAGGACGCGTTCATCTTCTCAACACTTTGCCCGCCAGCGGCTATTTAATAGCCTTTTAACCGTCGATAATTAACAGCTAAGGTTTCCATAATGAAGAAATAGCTATTACAAGTCATGAGCCAACGAATAATCTCGCGAAACGCAACTTAATAATTTCTTTTCGAGATCGTTACTTTAGAAGGAAATGATCAAATTCCCTAATATAATAAGTTCGCTTACGGTAGGTAAAGTGCCAAGATTCACCTCGTTCTTCATTCGTCGTAGAATCATTTAATACTAGCTACGACTCAAATCACACTGAGTCTCCTTCTCGAAACTCGACCCGATCGACCCTCTTGTTGGCTAACGTGAAAAACTGTTCGTTTGTACGAACCGACCCTCTCTCACTCTTTCTCACTCTCTCTCTTTTCTTCCTCTCTCTCTTTCTCTCTCTCTTTCTCTTTCTCACTCTCTCTTTCTCTTTCTCACT